GGACCTGAGTTCAAATCCAGCACCCTCAAATGGCACTGAGTGACATCCTAGCAGACACGGGTCACCAAGTGGCCAAGGATACCACGTGGCCTGTGCAGCTCCAGTCTCCACGTGGCTGCACTTGGGGGAGCCCATCTGCAACCATGAGAGTGCCCCACTGCAGGAGGGATAGACAGAGGGACAGATGGACTGAGGTTCTGTAACCTAGGCTGACCTGGAACTCACAGCAATCCTCCTGCCCAAGCCTCCAGCAGGCTGGGCTGGTGAATGGCCTTCCATCACTGTGCTCAGTGCTGTGGGACCTTTTAGGAGCGGGAACCAGGCTAACTTCATGATGGTGACACCCTGAGCCCCTGTGGGTGTGGGCACCCAACACCAGTAAAGAATCCAAAAAGTTGGCATAAGAACAGACAGGAGGACCAATGGAACCGAATAGAAGACCCGGATATCAATCCACACACCTTCAAACACCTGATATTTGATAAAGAAGCAAAAAAATAAATAAATAAAGGATAAAAGAAAGCATATTTAACAAGTGGTGCTGGCATAACTGGATACCAACATGTAGATGAATGAAAATAGACCCATATCTATCACCAGGCACAAAGCTCAAGTCCAAATGCATCAAAGACCTCTACATAAAGCCAGCCACACTGAACCTTATAGAAGAGAAAGTGGGAAGTACGCACTTGAACACATTGGCACAGGGAACCACTTCCTAAATAGAACCCCAGCAGCACAGACACTGAGAGAAACAATTACTAAATGGGACCTCCTGAAACTGAAAAGCTCTGTAAAGCAAAGGACACGGTCAACAAGACAAAACGACAGCCTACAGAATGGGAAAAGATCTTCACTAACCCCACATCAGACAGAGGTCTGATCTCCAAAATATACAAAGAACTCAAGAAATTGGACACCAAACCACCACATAATCCATTAAAAAAAATGGAGTACAGACCTAAACAGAGAACTCTCAACAGAGGAATCTAAAATGGCTGAAAGATACTTAAGGAAATGTTCAACATCCTTAGTCATCAGAGAAATGCAAATCAAAACAACTCTGAGATTCCATCTTAAACGTGTAAGAATGGCCAAGATCAAAAACACTGATGACAATTTATGCTGTAGAGGTTGTGGGGAAAAGGGAACACTTCTGCATTGCTGGTGGGAGTGCAAGCTGGTACAGCCCCTTTGGATGTCAGTGTGGCGATTTCTTAGAAAACTAGGAAACAACCTTCCTCAAGACCCAGCAATACCACTTTTGGGTATATATCCAAAGGATGCTCAATCATGCCACAAGGACATGTGCTCAGCTATGTTCACAGCAGCTTTGTTTGTCATAGCCAGAACCTGGAAACAACCTAAATGCTCCTCAACTGAAGAATGGATAAGGAAAATGTGGGTACATTTACACAACAGAGTACTACACAGCAGAAAAATAAATAACGACAGCTTGAATTTTGCAGGAAAATGGATGGAACTAGAAAACATCATTTTGAGTGAGGCAACCCGGACACAGAAAGACAATTATCACATGCACTCACTCATAGGTGGTTTTTAAACATGAAGCAAAGAAAGCCATCCTACAAACCACAATCCCAGAGAACTTAGACAACAATGAGGACACTAAGAGAGACTTACATAGATCTAATCTACATGGGAAGTAGAAAAAGACTAGCTCTCCTGAGTAAATTTGGAGCATGGGGACCTTGAGGGAGGATTGAAGTGGGAGGGGAGAGACAGGGAGGGGAGCAGAGAAAAACGTAGAGCTCAATAAATATCATGGGAAAAAAAAAGAATCCGAAAAGTACCAGGCATGGTAGCTCTGGTCTTTAATCCCAGCACTCAGAAGGCAGAGGCAGGTGGATCTCTGTGAGTTCAAGACCAGCCTGGTCTACAAGAGCTAGTTCCAGGACAGCCTCCAAAGCTACAGAGAAACTCTGTCTCGAAAACAAAACAAAAATAAAAATAAACGAACAAAAACAAAATCAAACCCAGCCTGGTCTACAGAGCGAGTTGCAGGACAGCCTGGGCTGCACAGAGAAACTCTGTCTCAAAAAACCAAATAAATAAATAAATTAAATTGAAGAATTCAAAAGGTGGGGCCCTGTGGTGCATGCCTGTCATCCTAGCCCCTGGAAGGCTGAGGCAGGAGGATGACGGCTAGCCTGAAGAGCAGGAGAGACTAGGAGTCACCCTATGACCTTAATGAGCCTGGGTTTCAAATTAAGAGCACTGGGGGCAATCTAGGGAAATGAAGAGCAGAGCAAAGGCAATGGTCTGGCACCACCGGTACCTGAGGCCCCAGAGCTGAAGTCCAGGCCACCACGCCAGGACGGCCGCTCCCTCCTCCTGGCCCTGCCCTTGGACCCAGGATGGAGGGTTTATGGAACCCACGTGGGCCGGGGACAAGGCTAGGGACAAGGCCGCTCCCTGCCTCCGAGCTCAGACAAAGGTGAGGAGGCCTGGGGGAGCTCACAGGACACTGGGTGGAGATCCAGGCTTTGCACAGCCTGGAGATTGTTCCCCACGCCCTGCACTGAGTGACACGTCCGTGCAGAGCCACCTCCGACTCTTGTGACACACAGAACTGTCCGCTCAGAGCCCTAGGGACGAGCACTGCCTGAATTAAAACATCTTTATTTCTCCTTTTTTTTTCCCCCCAATCCAGGGTTTCTCTGTGTAGGTTTGGAGCCTATCCTGGCAATTTTCTTTGTAGACCAGGCTGGTCTGGAGCTCACAGAGATCCACTTGCCTCTGCCCTCCGAGTCTGGCCTATTTCCATTTTTTAAAAATGCCTTTTTAAAAAATGTACTGATGGCCGGGCGGTGGTGGCGCACGCCTTTAATCCCAGCACTCGGGAGGCAGAGGCAGGCGAATCTCTGTGAGTTCGAGGCCAGCCTGATCTAGAAGAGCTAGTTCCAGGACAGGAACCAAAAAGCTACAGAGAAGCCCTGTCTCGAAAATAAAAAAAAAAATGTACTGATGTTGCTTTTAAACTTTTTATTTTAATTTTATGTGCATTGGTGTTTTGCCTGCATGTGTGTCCGTGTGAAGGCATTGGGTCCCCTAGAACTGGAGTTACAGACAGGTGTGAGCTGGGGATTGAACCCTGGTCCTCTGCTATTACCTGCTGTCACCAGTCCCCTTAAAAAAAATCTTAAGAGGAGATCTTACTATGCAGCAGAGGCTGGCCTGGAACTCACAACAATCTCTGCCTCCTGTATGTCGTGGTGACAGTCTGAGCCCGGGAGGGCTTTCCAGTCGGGAGTGACATCCCCGGGCTGCCTGTCTCTGAGCTGTGTGCATGCCAGTCACATCTGCAGGAGACAGGGCCTGACCACAAGTGCCCATGAGCACATGGACCAGGCGTAGCACACATTTGTCACTTGGAGGCAGACAGGTGAGGAGTAGTTGGAGGCCATCACGATGAGTTGGGGGTCAGCCAGAGCCACATGAGACCCAGTCTCAGGAGATGAATAGCGTGGGATTCCTCTGTGATAGGTTAGGGGGTCTTCCATAAAACCTTCACCTAGGATCCCCCAAGTCAGGGGCTGGGGGCGTGGTCAGGGTGGAGCCCCGCCTAGAATCCCCAGTGAGGGGCTGTGGGCGTGGTTAGGGTGGAGCCCTGACTAGAATTCCCCCCCCCACCGTGAGGGACAGGGAGCGTGGTCAGGGGAGGGGTCGGGTCAACCCCTCAGTGCAGACCCCAGAATGCAGAATGCAGCGGTCACTGGAGGATCTCCCGGCATGAACTGGGTGTAGAGGCGGAGACTCAGCTCAGCACCCTGCAGAGTCCAAGGTACTCCATTGGGGAGAAACTGGTGCAGTGTCTGCATCACCCAGGGGAACCCCTGCCCTAGGCTTCGGGTCCAGGCTGCTTTAGTCTTGAAGATTCCTGGTGGAGCCTGACTCTCCAAACCCGGAAATGACGTCACTACCCTCCGGCTTTGGGGTGAGCTGCAGCCAATTCTGGGGAGCCACCGCCCTCGTGTGGACGGTTTTAGAACTGCAGCCTTCTGAATCTCTGGCATTTTAGCAATTATTTTGATGTTAAATAAAAATTGGGTGTGGTCTTGTCCACGGGCTCCGGGTCCTTGGGTGCTGGGATATCACCCGTGTCCGCGTAACAGCTCAGTCACGGGGGAAAGGGGTCTTATGATGCTAAGTAGGGCGTTCTCTGGGAATTATGGCCTCTGGGCCCAGTGTTAGGAGTTAATGCACCTGAGAAGCTGGCTAGTTCCGGACTGAGAATTGGGTCGGCCTCACACCCACACACACGTCATAGATAAAGAGACAGGCCATAGAGGACAGTGTTATGGTGGGACCAGGGCAAGAGGTGACCGTCCCTGCACAGGTAGGTGGACTCCCGGCCCTTGCTAGCATGCACACAGTGTGGCCCTCACACATTCTCGGCAGCTCAGTGCCAGCGCTTGGGGACAATTCTCTGAGGCCGGCTTCAGTTTGAATCTCGTTCTTCCCAGGAAACTGCATCCACAGAGCGCGGTATCGATCTCTCTCTGAGCCCCTCTGAGGGCCGAGCCTCCTACTCGGAGAATGCTCACCTCCAGATTACAGAACTCACGTGCTAGGCCCCTGGCATTCGGGACACTGGGTGTCCCAGGGGCGGGCGGGGCTCACCCGGTGGAAACAGGGAAGCAAAGATGCGGTCTGGCCCCTCTCCTTACCAAGCTGGCTTTGTTTGATTGTTTATTTTAGCGTTTTGAATTCTTGAATTTTTCCCCATTTCTTAGAGACAGGACTTCTCTGTGTGTAGCCTAGGTTGCCGAGGATGGCTTCCAGCTTCGGGACCCAGCTGTCTCTGCCTCCCGAGTGCTGGGATTAAATGTGTACGCCAACACTGACCAGGTGAAAGATTTATTTATTTGTTTATTATGGGTACAGTGTTCTGCCTGCACGTCTGCCTGTACACCAGAAGAGGGCACCAGATCTCATTACAGATGAGAGCCACCATGTGAGCCACTATGTGGTTGCTGGGAATTGAACTCAGGACCTCTGGAAGGGCAGTCAGTGCTCCTAACCGCTGAGCCATCTCTCCAGTCCCAGATTTATTTTTATTTCATGTGTGTGTTGGCTGCAAATGCCTGTGCACGTGTGTGTAGTACCTATGCAGGCTAGAAGGGGCCATTAGGTCCCCGGGATTGTAACCTGTGCACGCAGTACCCTCAGAGACCAAATGGGCCGCTGGGTCCTCAGAACTGGAGTCACAGGCGGTTTGAGACTTCAAACTCAAATCTGGACTCCATGAGACACTGTCTGAAGAAACAAAAGTGTTGCAGCTGGGGAAGATCAGGTGGGAGAGGGCTTACCGTGTTGCAGGAGGACCCAGGTTCGAGGCCACACGTGACTGGGTACCATGGCACAAGTGCTGTTCCAAGGTGCAGAGGTGGGGGGAACACGGGAGGATCCCAGGCCAGCCCTTGCTGCACTCTGGGTGCAGAATAAAGTAGCTGGGACTGCAGAGAAGCTCAGTGGTTAGCTCACTGGCTGCCCCTACAGAGGACCTACCATGGGAGTCTGGGCAAGGCCTGAAACACCCCAGGTGACTCCCTGATCTGAGGTGTCCGCCCCATAGGTGTGTCAGGTGCCTGACCCTGAGCAGAGAGAAATCACCCCCTGCCCCTGAGGAGGCTGGGGGGAGGGCTTCCAGTCCACTGCGCCCCCCCCCCCTCACGGCCAGGCCCCAAGCTCCTTAATAAACCAGGTATGGTGGCTCACGTCTGGCCTCCAAGCACTCTTGAGATGGAGGCAGGGGCAATGGATGTTCAAGGTCAGTCTCAGCTACAGAAGGAGTTGGGGGTCAGCTTGGGCTACATGAGACCCTGCGTCAAAAAGAAATTAAAAACAAAATAAAATTAAGTCGTTTGAGAGTTGGGCCCTCCCTGTCCTAGGTTTTGGAGTGGGAATAAAGACAAAACAAACACATTAAATACCTAGATGTACAGAACACCAATAGGTGGTGGGGGCAGAGGTCACAGCCACCATTGGGTGCTGGAGGAAGAGGACCCCAGGGAGGCCCGCGAGGGTGCAGTCTGGCTTGTGTGTTTGTTTGCAGCATGGGAGACGGCAGGGCTGCTCACCCAGAGGCCAGCGCCACACCTCAGCCTGTAGGTGTCTGACATGGGGACTCACTAGCACAGTCTGGCTTCACATTCACTAAGTAGCTGAGAATGTCCAGGAATTTCTGGTGCCTCTGCCTTCCAAGAGCTGGGATGACGGGTGCCTGCCACCGCTTTACCCGGCTCTAAAATGGAGAAAACATAACATTAAGTTCTGAGACTACAGCCTGTCCACACACCCAGATCTGACTCGCCTGGATGACAGGGGAATTGTCCAGGGCTTCTGCACAGGCCCTGGGGCAGGACTGTTGGGGGAGCACTGGCAGGGGTGGAGTGGGAGGACTCAGGTCTCAAGCCTGTGGGTGTCTTCTCAGCTTTAAGGTCATCGGCGGTCAGGGCTCAGTAAATACTCACGAGGAAACAAATGGACAGAGGAGCCCCCCTCCCACCCCCTCCCACTCCTACCCCCACCCGGGTCAAGGAGGCCTTGCTTGCGCTGGCCTCACTAACTGGACACTTGTCCATCACGCAGCCCCGTGCTCGTTTGTGTCCAGCGGGGAGGACCCCGAGGATGCAGAGCTGCAGACTAAGTATGGGGTGGGGAATGGGCATCGAGGAGCCCAGCCGCCTTCAGGCTGGCCTCAGCTGCTGTGTTTTTGGGTGATAGCTCAAAGCCCCTGTTCTGAGATTTTTAGACAAGGCTCTTTTGGTAGGTTCTCATGTAGCCTAGGCTGGCCTCAGACAAACTGCTTATCCCCCTGCTTCTGCTGCTTGCTTCCCATGGTGCATGGTGAGCACTCACCATGAACCCAGGCCTTAGCTGGGGTGAGGGTGACATCCGGAACTGACATGGAAGGCAGGCACAACGGTCAGCATGGGCAGGGCCCAGGACGTACAGAGGACTCACGCGGCATCCCAGTGCCTCTTGGGCTCGGCTGCAGCCAGTGTCTCAGAGTCACCTGACACCCTCCAAAAGGACCAACACAATGGAACCTGAGTCTACATGCCCCGTCACCTGCTGTGTGATTTTGGCCAGGACAACTGCCCTTTCTGTGCCTCCGGCTCTTCATTCCCTTGGGGACACTGGTGGCTTCTTCCAGCTCAAGTGCTTACACCAGATCCTGGTGCACACAGAGGACCTGGACAGAGAGCTCAGCGGTTAGCACACTGGCGGCGACACCAGAGGACCTGAGTTTGATTCCCAGCACCACCACACCGCTCAAACTGCCTGGGACTCCAGTTCTGGGAACCCAACGCCCTCTTCCGGCCTCTGCCGGCACAGTCCCCTCCCAGCCACTGCGGATACTGAATACACACACAGGGTGTGCAGACATATACTCAGGGATGTATCAAAAAATCAATAAAAACCAGAGAAACCCTGCCTCGGAAAAAAATTTAAAAAAAGAAGAAGAAGAACCTGTTTAGGTACTGATAAAAACCAGCACCCTGACCCAGGCCTGCCATCCCAGCTTTTGTGGGGCTGAGGCAGAAGAACCCCAAGTCCCAAGACAGACAGTCTGGGTTACTTAGTGAGACCCAGTCTCAAAATGGAGAGTAAAAAGTAGACTGGGGCCTGGCTCAGGGCAGAATCCAGACCTAAACCCCCAATGGGTCACAGATTCAGACCGGCAGGAGAACACCCCCGGACTCCCCTGTCAATCAATCAATGTCAGTGGGTACGTCAACGCATGCATCCAACGCAGCCTGACTGCAACGCGTCCTTCCCGGCATGCTTTAGAACGCTGTTCATCTAGTTATTAACTAACTAATTAATTAATTATGGTATTTTTGAGGCAGGGTCTCACTATGTACCTTCCTAGTGCTGAGAGTAAAGGTCCTGAGTTTGTCACTGTTCCCTGGCTAACAGAAGGAAGGAAAGAAGGAAGGAGGAAGGAAGGAAGGAAGGAGGAAGGAAGGAGGGAAGGAAGGAAGGATGGAGGGAGGGAGGGAGGGAGGGAGGAAGGAGGGAGGGAGGGAGGGAGGAAGGAGGAAGGAAGGAAGGAAGGAGGAAGGAAGGAGGGAAGGAAGGAAGGACGGAGGGAAGGAAGGACGGAGGGAAGGAAGGAAGGATGGAGGGAAGGAAGGAAGGACGGAGGGAAGGAAGGAGGGAGGGAGGAAGGAAGGAAGGACGGAGGGAGGGAGGAAGGGAGGAAGGGAGGAAGCAAAACAACTTGCAGGCAGTCGAGAACGAGCCTCATGGGTCCACAGCAGCCTGCCGTGATCTGAGTCAGGCTGTGTTCTGCTCCTCGGCCCACACAGTGCGTGGCTAGGCCTTTGTGGTTTGTATCACTCTTGTGGTTGGGAAGGGCAGGGTGGGGATGTGACCACACAGGGCCAGCCACTGCCATGAAATTTGACTTTCTAGGACTTGAAGATGTTGGCCTGGTTGGAATCAGAAGGTGCCACCAAGAAAAGGGGTCTGTCTGTCCCAGTGTGGGACAGATGGATGGCCATAGGGAAAGTGGACCTGGTACAGGAGGAACAGGAATTCAGGGTTATCCTCTGCTACAGATTTCCAGGCCAGCCTGGGCTACACGAGACTGTATTCTCATAAAATAAAATAGAACAATGTCACGCAGTGGAGCCTTTACGGAAGCCCTGTCATGATCAGGGTCTGAGTCGTGGCCCCGGGGGCCTGTCCTCTATGGTTTAGCTGCTTCCCTACCTCCCAGCTCCCCACTGGGGTTCAGCATCACAGTGAACCAGGCCTTGCTGGCCACTGGTTTCTCCTCCAGCTTTGTGGGCCACCTGAACAGTTGATGACATTTGTCCGGCTGTCTCAGGTATGTGACAGGGTCTTGTTCTACAGCTCAGGCTGGCTTGAAATTGTGGGAACCCCCCTGCCTCAGCTTGCTATGGAATGCTGGGATAACGGGTCTTAGCCCAGGGAAATAGTTCTTTTTATATATTTATTTATGTTTCATTTTTTATTATTTTTGAGAAAGGGCTCATGTAGCCCTGGCTGTCCTGGAACTCACAGAGATCCTCCTGCCTCTGCCTCTGGGATTAAAGGCCTGACCACCAGCAGTTCCTGTGGAACTCTTTAAATTTTTGCTGTTTTGAGATAGGGGCTTGTGCAGCCCAGTTTGTACCGGAACTCGACGAGGAGATCGGGCTGGCGTCCACTTTCCTCCGCACTGGGGTTAACCCTTGCACCACCACTCAAAGCCTGTTTTACTTTTTGTTGTTTTGAGACCCAATCTCAGGTAGCCCACGTTGACCTGGAACTCTTGATCCTTCTGCCTCCACACCCCAGTCAGTGCATGACAAGCTTGGCACCCTTTTGTGGGACGGGTGTCAGTCACCATGGTGCCCAGTGTGCCCCCCAACCGTGCCAACCCTTACCATTCCAGAGAGATCAAGGCACACCGTAGGCGCTCCATAAATGCACCTTGGCGCCTGGGCGCCCAGGCTGTGGGTCTGTGGCCTGGGACTGGACACCGAGGCAGGCCTCGGGCCGGGGCGCGGCGGGGGCGGGGCGCGCGGGGCCAAGGTCACGGGTGGGGCGTCCGGGCCTGCGCAGTGCCGGGCGCGGCAGGTGGAGCGGGAGCCCGGGCGGCACCGCGTCGCCATTACACAATAGCGCGGGCGGCGCGGGCGGGCGGCGGGCGGCGCAGGAGGCGGGACGCGGGGCCCCGGAGCTGCCGATCGGGGACAAAGCGCGGCCGCCCGGCGCCCCCCGAGCCGCCCGAGCCGGGGCGCAGCCCGCGCCCCCCGCGACTGACATGATGTTTCCGCAAAGCCGGCACTCGGTAAGGGGGACCCCCGCGCTGCACCCCGGAGCTCGCCCTGCACCCCCAGCTCGGCTCACTGCACCCCCGTAGCTCGGATCCCGCCTGTCTCCCCGCCCAGGGCCTGTCCCAGGGGCTCCTTACGCGCCCCCAGCTCCCTGAGGCCTGTCCCCCAGTCCTGGGGGGTCTGTCCCCAGGGTCCTTGCACCCCCACCGGCCCAGCACTGCATCCTTCAGCCCGGATCCCTGAACTTGAATCCCGGCCCCGAGAACCCCCACCCTCTGCCCATCCCGACTGCAGGGTCCCCCACCTTCAGGCTCCGGACTAGTCTGTCTCCCAGCCCAGGGCCCCGCACCCCACTCCAGCCGCATCAGGTCTGTCTCCCAGCCTGGGGCACAGGCCCTGCAGCACCCCAAGCCCAGGCGGCGCATGTCCTCCAGCCTGAGACCTTGCACACCCAACTCCGGGCTCTGCACCCCCCAGGCCCAGGTCGCTAATGACCCCAGACTGGCCTGCCCCCAAGTCCAAGGCCCTGCACTTCCTTCCACCTCAGATCTGTCCTGTCCCTAAGTCTGCTGCCCAGCATCCCCGAATCCAGGCCCCGCATCCCCTGCCTCTCCCTTCAGTCCGGTTGGGCCTGGCGTCACCATCCGGGCCCAGCGCCACCCCCAGCCTGGCCGGCCCTGCGTTCTTCAGCAGCAGGCCCCGCATCCCAGAGGCCTGCCTCCTCCCAGCCCCCATCGTGCCAACACCAGGGTGTGTGGGACCCTGCACCCCTATAACGCCCAGTGTGTGCCTGCCCCTGTCTGGAGCCCAAGCCCCCCACGTCTGCTCCCTCCAGTTCCAGGCGCCGTCCCCCCCACATCCAACCCCGGCCGCGTCTTGCCTCCCACCCCAGCTCCCAGTGGCTCTGCACCCCGTTCCCTGCTCCCAGCCTTGCTCTCCCAGACGCTAACTCTGCTCCCCAAATCCGAGGATCTTACACCCTAACTCTTGGCCCAGTGTCCTCAGATGCTGACCCAGTACATCCCCTCACCCCAGGGACACCCCTCTGTCCCTCCCCCCCCCCCCGCCCCCCCAGAGCTACAGGCTCCCTCTCTGACTTCCAGTCCTGTCTTCCTCCCATGGCTTTGGCTGGGGCCTGGAGGAACCCCGCGAGGGACCCTCGGGGTTAGAAAGATTTTGGGGTCCCCTCCTGGAATAGCACACCCGAGGAAACAGGTGTGAGGGGTACCCCCAGGAAATGTGGGGTGGTAGCTAGGTTCATCTTCCAAGCTGGCTTTGAAAGCAGGCCGGTGCCCTGCTTAACATAGAGGGGCTTTCCGGGGACTCCTCGGGGCAGCTGGAAGACAGGGGTGCACCCCTCCCCATTGGTGCTTGTCCCCCCAAATGACCCGCGCTAAAAGCACCCCATTGCCTGGGGGCCTCCCTGTCCCCTCCTGGCTTCCTCAGTGAGGGCTGCCCGGGCCTGCAGAGCACATCCCAGGAAGTGGGGCGTGGGCGGGGCACTCACCCTCCCGCACTCCCACCCCGCATCCCGCAGGGCTCCTCCCACCTCCCCCAGCAGCTCAAGTTCACCACCTCCGACTCTTGCGACCGCATCAAAGATGAGTTCCAGTTGCTGCAAGCTCAGTACCACAGGTGAGCCCGGGCCGGGGGCGCACCCTTAGAAGAGAGGCTTGTCCGGGACCTGGAGGAAGGCTGCTGGGGGTGGAGGCTAGGGGTCAGCAGTGCAAGGTCATCCTCTGCTACTTAGCCAGTTGGAGGCCAGCCTGGGCTACATACCACCCTGGGTCCAAAACCAAACCAGCAGCCCCATAGTGTGGAGGAGGAAACTGAGGCACACACTGTTCATGGCTTCAGAGGTCGTGTCGACAGTGAGCCTGCCACTCTCGTAACACGGGCCGCGTGGAGCCCACACAGCCCACCCCTTTCATCAGTTGTGGAGTGGGGAGCTTGCTGGTGTCCCCCAGACCCTCCAGCTGGCTGGCTCCCACAAATCCTCTTCCTGCCTCTCATGTGTGAAACTGATCACCCTGAAACCCAGAGAGGTCAGCATTTTCCAAGGGTCTGCACAGCACAGAAGCAGTCTGAAGCTGGGGAGTGGCTCAGGGTCCCCATTTTACTCCATAACCCAACGGTGATTGGGCATAGGGGTGCCAGGCCCGCCTCAGACATACGGGCAGCAGGATGGAGGTGTTCTGGGCTAGTCTGAGATATAGAGCAAACTTCTGCCTCAGAAAACAAATAATAATAACAACCACATAATAATAATAGTAGTAGTAGTAATAATAATAATAATAACAATAATAGACTTTGAAGAACCTTCAGATTTTTCCATGAAAAAGGAAATCTCAGGTTTTGTGAATTTTTTTGATTTATATTTTTACTTTTTGGTATTTATTTTGAGACAGGGTCTCGTGTAGCCCAGGCTTTCCCCAGCTGTCTGTGTAGCCAAAGGTGACCTTGAGCTACTGATAGTAGATAGACGAGTAAGGGCTTCCTGTGCTAGGCCAGCGGGCTACCCACTGGGCCACCCCGCTAGTGCCCCCCCCCATGGTTCTGGTCCCCACTTGTGTCTGTGGAACCTGGCTGGCCTCGTCAAGATCTACAGGCTGCTGTGTGCTGTCCCCCAGGGGAAGGATGCTCTCTCAGAGCTGCCTTGGGCTGTGTGCTGGGCCTGGGTTCCTGGCTGTGTGGGGTGAGGGTGAAGGGGCTCCCTTTTGGGGGGACAACCCACATGGGAGCGACATCCGCACCTTGAGAATAAGTTCCCTGGGGATAGTTTCTGTCAGTCCCTCCCCCCACCTCCCATCTCCCCACCACAACCCCCCCTTTCCCTTGGTGCTCATGGCTGAGCCACGCCCAGCCTGAACTTACTATTAGTTATTTGTGTGTGTGTGTGTGTGTGTGTGTCCACCACGTGACAGCGGTGTCCTTCTTGGTCTCTCGAGCTCCTGTATCTCCCCCAGTCCTCACCTTGTGGGAGAACATAACACCAGCCTGGGTGTCCCCAGCCTGGCTCTGGGATTCGAAATGGGATCCTTGTGTTTGAGCCGCAGTCACTTGACCACTAAGCCCTGGTGGGACCCATTCACCTCAATACTCAGTTATTTTGTGAGAACAGGTTGGCTGTGCAACCAGGCTAGACTAGTCGGGGACCCAGCCAGGGTGGGATCCTGGCTCCGTGACAGCCTGAGACGTCCTGCGGCTGCTTTTATTATATATATTTGGCCTTTTTTTTCTCTTCTTCTTCTTCTTCCTCCTCCTCCTCCTTCTTCTTCTTCTTCGTCTTTTTTGGCGTTTTGTTTTTTGAGACAGGATCTCTCTACACAGCCCTGGAACTTGCTGTGTAGACCAGTCTGGCCTCGAACTCAGAGATTCTCCTGCTTTGGGTTCGCAAGTGTAGGGCTTTTTAATTTTCAGATAGGGTAGGATTCGCGGCTACCCTCCTGTTCACTCTCTCACGTTCCAAAGTGTTGTTTTGTTTTTCTTTTTTTGCTTGTTTCTTTTCTGGATTTAAAGAAATATTTCTTAATACACTTATAGGGGGGTGCCACGGTACAGTGTGAAGGTCAGAGAACAGCTTGGGGGTGTCCCTTCCCTCCTTCCTCAGCGAGCCCCAGACTCTTTGACCCTCATCATCCTAGCTGTAACTGGGGCCCAGAGAAGTAGAGCAGATGACCCGGGATGGAACCAGGGAGACAGCAGGGCTCCCTTGGGGGCCTCTCCCACTGTCCCCCTCAGCCCTGGGCCCCCTCAGTCTCTTCATCTGTCTGTGTGTGGAGAAAGTTCTTAGGTTACCGCCCAGCTGTGTGACCTGTGAAGATGGAGGGCAAGTTCTGCAGACCTCATCGGCGGCTCACAGGGGCACCTCTGCCTCGGTGGTGGTTATTTTGTTGAGATTGCTCTCATAGTTTCACAGTAGGGTAAACTGAGGCAACCCTGCCTGCCCAGGATTGCAGAAAACCTAGGGGTGCCCTTAAATGCAGTCAGATGTGGTGCTTGGCCGCTTCTCAGCCTACAGGACTGGGGCTCAGTTGGTGGTGCAGGTGGGCAGCCCAGCCTGTGGGGGGCTAAGGCAGGGGAATCAGGAGTTCAGAGTCGTTCTCAGCTCCATAGTGAGTTGAAAGCTAGCCTGGGCTACACGAGACCCCGTCTCAAACACACAAACCAAAAAGTTTTTAGTCTGACCCTCCAGAAGGCGGGCCGAGGGGACCTGAGCTACCCTTGTGTGTCCTCAGCCTCAAGCTGGAGTGCGACAAGCTGGCCAGCGAGAAGTCAGAGATGCAGCGGCATTACGTCATGGTAAAGTCCCCTCAGGGCCCCGGGGGTCTGGGCGGGTGACCCCAGACTCCCCACACACCGCAGGTGCCTGCTACCAAGTCCCTGTGGCTGAGGGTGGCCTGGCCGCAGGCCTGGGTAGTGGCTGAGGTGCCAAACTACTGACTTGTATCCTGGGCCTGCCAGGACCCTGCTGTCCTTGGCTGCAGCTGGAGGAGGCGGCAGTGGAAGTCAGCCACAGCCAGCCAGCCGGAAGCAACTGGGAAGCCATCACCAGTCCCCTCCCTCCAGGCCGTCCGGATAGGCATCCCTTAACCCTTCCATGGCCGGATGGGACCTGTAGTTCCCTGCAGAGGAGGTTGTGGGGTCTTGGGGCTTTGTGGCAAGGGTCGTGAAGAACAAATAGGAACTCAGTGGATGGGAGGGGCACAGGGAATGCTGGGATGTGCAGAGAGAGCCAGGCCACCCAGAATGTCA